AAACGTTGAGAAAATGAGTTGAATTTTCGTATATATATGGATTAATTTTTAGGTTAAAAGGCATATACAATCTCAAAAAGGTTTGTTATGATTAATTTGGTAGTTATTTTCAGTGCAACTCATTTTGTATTCTTCAGAATCATTTCGGAGTGGATCCACTCCGATTTGCTACATTGCAAGTACATGTATATGGGACGTATTCTAACTGTGGTGAGGGCCTGTCCCGAGACACAGTTAGAATATTCTTACTACATATCTCCCACTTAGAACAATCTCTTTTTTAATTTTTCGTTGAGAACGACGAAGAACAATGCAGTCTATAAATAGATCGAGGTCGCGTCTTTGTTTAGAGGTGTTTGTGAAGAATCACGCCCTTTGGTTGGAGCAAATAGCACGAGTTTCTTTAGAACAAGTCGTGTACATCTTTTTCCCAGAATTCCAAATTATGCAAGCGTACTTGCAGTTTTATCCCACCGTAACTAGTCGGGCTGACTAATGAAAAAAAAAAAAACACTGGCAGATTTAGAGGAGGTTCAGGGGGCCTGCAAGCCCCCTTTTTGTATCCAAAATATACACAAGATTTAATAAATCAATTTTTATGTGGCTTTGGGCCCCTACCCCGACCCAAAACTCGTCGGGCCCCCTTTTCTAGATTCCTTTATCCGCCACTGAAAAAAAGAATGTGTTGTTCTCTTGGATGTCGATATCTGAATTATATTTTAATTAAACATCCTGTCTAATATATCATGGGCGCCCATAATAGGACGATTATTTGTTTTTTAAAATAAAGTGGTTCTTACAAATGTTTAAAAAAAAACTTACAAACGGCTAAGTAATTATTTAATTCATCTAGAACAAAGTTAGTTTAGTTATTTGCTTACATATTCTAACTTTTATAAATTAACACGAAAGTCGTGCGATCGTATACAAATACTCAGAAGCAATCTTCATATTTAATGAACGTATAGGTGAATAAATTGCCTCTCATCGCAATACGTATACCCCCATCCCCGAAATAAATAGAATGTTTTCCTTCGCAGCCGGTTATGTAAGTACAAGTGAGGATGGAGCTTTACAGAAGCAGGTGATGAATTCCGAGAGAAAGGCACTGCCTATTTTATATACATGTACATTCCTAGGGACCTGGTTTTGTGAACCGATGTCACCGGCTGTTATTCAAAGACCTAGCTAGAAATTCTCTCTCTCTCTTTGAAATGCAGGTCCGTCGATAGTAAAAAAATGACAAAATAATTTCAATTTTTATTATTTATATTTGCAAATATTTTTCTTAGGTGAACCTATTGAAGAGAAAATATGTTCAATTCTGTACAAACTTATTAGGGGGTCAGAAGTCATGGCGTGACCGTATCACACAGCGAGATGATATCTTGTCTACATATTTCTGTCCCGGTGACACTGGTTTCGGAACTTCTAAGCCGTTAAAGCGATGAAAAAGATATATGTTTTTTTTCGTTCAACAAATGATCATTAGTTCTTTCTTCGGTGTGAAGAATGTTTTTAATTAGCCTAAAATCACGCTTACCTTTTTAACCCGAAATTCCTTTGAAGGTATGTAAACTGAAGACGATATCACCGCTTTTGACTTCATATAAAGAACTCATACAATAATAGTAAGATCATTCTCAGTAGCGATCATTGTTTTTTTGTTTTTTTGTTTTTGTTTTTATTATGAATAGATATTTCCTGAACTGGACTGCTGAACAGCAATATAAGTATTCAAATGTTGGAGCGAGGCGAACTCTCAAGACCAAACAGCTTCTAGGTCACTTCGCGTCACAACATAGCATGAATACGGCGGGCCGTTCGTGTAATAAATGCAGTTCTTTTCAGAAAATTCGTCTCAAATGTAAATAAAAGTAATAAACAACAATGTTAAAAAGTTCTCTGGGAAATGAACTTGGTTGGTACCTGATCAAATCTGAGAAGCCCTTAGGGCTTCAAAGGATTTGATCACGTGACCAACGAAGTTCATTTCCCAGAGAACTTTTTAACATTGTTGTTTATTTCTTAAATAAGTATCTCATCTCCCAAGCCCAAAGGCCCAAAGTAAGCTTTTCTGTTCATAATTCTTCAGCTTTGTTTGCTTTCTTGGCGTATATAAGCGTTATCGTCGTTGTCGTTCTAAAGTTACTTGTAAAATTTTCTCATTTTTATCTTATCAAGAACCACTGGGCCATAACAACGAAAATTAACATAGAATATTTTTGGTAAAGTTTTTTTCAAATGAAGGGTCACATCCTCTTTTAACGGATACATGTAGTAAAAATTAGATGGGATCCAGGCGCGGATCAAGGATTTTTTTTCCACGGGGGGGGGGGGGGGGATCCCAATAAAAAAATATTTCAACCCAGAAATTTCTTGACGAGCCAAAAAAAAGAAATTCTTTTCACAAACGTGAAAAACCTATTTCGTGTGTGTGTTTGTGTGCGTGTGTGTGTGTGTGTGGGGGGGGGGGGTTCGTTGACTTTTAAAGCTTCATACCTAAGACTTTTCATACCATTTTAACACAGATCCGCGTTTTCGAGGAAGGGTCTGCGTTTTCTAGGGGGGGGGGGGATGGTTAATTTTACTTGCTTTAGTATATACATTTAACTGCCCCCAACCCCCTCTAGATCCGCGCATGGGGTCATTTGAAAATAGTATTCTCAAGAACCCCTGGACTAGAATGAGAAAATTTCCAACATAGCATACATTCATTTTATTTTTCAAATCTTGATTCCAGGGAGAAGGTTTGGGCCGGAAAGAGTGTTCATTATTTAACATAGGAATTTATATATCCCCCCAAACGAAGTGTGTTGGTTTGGGGTGGGGGTGTTTTGAGTCTTGGAATCACACTGTCCGTCTGCCTAGCTGTCCGTCTGTACGTGATAGTTTGCCCAGGATATAACTTTGTTATGAAGAATATGGAAGGTCATACTTGGTACAAAGATTACTAATGATCCGAGGGTGTGTCATGGTTTTGATCCAACATCATTCCGGCAAGTTCAAGGTCACTTAAAAAAAAATAGCAAAGTTTTGTCCGACTCATTTATCTGTAATAGAGAGTCACCGGAAGCTCACTGGATACAGGAATTGCTTATGACAAAAAGGGTTTGCCACGACCTTCATTCAAGGTCATTCCTGTAAGTTCAAGGTCACTGACAGAAAAGTGTAAGATTACTGTATGTGCTATAATTTTGGAAGCTCATACTAGGAACAAAGATTGCATATGATCCACCGGTTTGAGATAACATAGTACTAGATTGGCAGAAGAAGTGGCAAAACTCGTGCCTGGATTATAAATTTATAAGGGGTGGGAGGAACACAGGAAACTTTTTCTCAGATTGCTTGAGATGGGTTTGTCCTGACCTTGAATAGAGGTTTTTCCCGCAAGTTCAAGGTCACTGGCAGATAAATATTAATTTTTTTTTCCATGCTATAACTTTGTAATATAAAATCACTGGAAGCTATTACTTGATACAGAGATTGCTTACGATCCAAGGATGTGTTTTGACCTTGATCCAAGATCTTTCTGGTAAGTTCAAGGTCACTGACAGAAAAGTGCAATATTCTTTTTCAGGAATATCTTGGTCATTGAGTATCACTGGAAGCTCATAATTAGTTCAAAGGTTGTTTTTGACCTTAGAATAGGTCATTTAGGCAAGTTCAAGGTCACTGATATAATAAGTGTAAAATTCAAAAAGGTCTAGTCGCCCACGTGGCGCAGTGGTAAGAGTGTCTCCTCTAGAGTCGTGGATTAAGGAGTTGATCCTTATGTCGCAGGTTCGAATCCCACTATGGGACGCAGAGACCGATCCTTCAGATGAGACCGTATAAACTGAAGTCCCGTCTGGCAGTAGGTGCTGGCACGAAAAAGATCCTTCACTGTTCAATGGCCATGAGTGCCGAGTATAGGTCAAAATTTGCAGATCTCCATCGGCAAATATGGTGGCGTCCCCACATGATTGAAAAATTCTCGAGAGGGACGTTAAACAACATACACACAAACAAACAAACAAAAAGGTCTTTAATTTTGGACTAGAAAAAATTGCATGCATTTGCATTTCACTGAAAAGATGATAAATATATTATCCAAAGTGTGTAATGGCCTTGACTTAAATTCGAGGTCACTTAGAATATGATGTTTTGGATGAATAGTCTGAAAGAATACGTGACTGTGAATTTTTTTTGTCGATGACATACAGATGGTGTTTGCTCTTAACCAGCTGCAGAATGTGTCCTGGCTTGACGCACGATTATTTGGACAAGTTCAAGTTCACTGACAGGGGAATTTTACATTCTTTTACTGTCTTTCTACTGTTGAAACATTGGAAGTTGATGCCCCTTACAGGATTGTTTATAACCTTAAAATGTTGCATGACCTTGACTCAAGGTCGCTATGTTCTGTCCGGAGCTCCGACGGAAGACCTATTCGTTGCATTGCAACGAGATCGGCTCTAGTTGAACACACTGTTTGCACAGATTTTCCCCATTCAAGTAAGCAACAGTGATTTTTGTTTGTCAATATTTTGATCATCAATACTGTCTTCGAACATTTTACCTGGGGATAAATGACTAGTACCCTATGTTGACAATGAAATAGATAGGACTCAATATTTACGCCTTTCTATGATTTTCTCAATGTCTAAAAAACACTGTTTAATGTATAGAGGGTCCTGAAGTATCTTGTGTCTTTCATGGGAAAAAAAATACATTTTCAAGAAAACACCTATCTATTGATTTAAGAATAAAATTGTGTTAATTAGTAAATTGAATAATACTGTGGTTTTCATGGTTTTTTGTCATTGTTTCTGAGGTTTAGCAGAGCATGAATTTCAAAATAGATAATAAACAAACTACAAATTTTTTTAAGGATAACTTAGTAAGTGTTTAGCCATGCATGTTCACAAATTTACATATCGGCAAATTTACCAAAACCTGAAAATTTGTTCCCCACAAAAATTGATGAACTAATTGGAGTACATTTGATGTTATGAAAGGTTTTGTCAACACAAGGTCCCCTCTACCATGGACACATCCAGCAAATAGGACCCGAGGCAACTGATCCAGCTTTAGTCTTTATAGAGGAACTAGGAGAAAAGTAAGTTCATGTTTTAGCTAAGTCTTTTGTGTCCATTTGTGATATACATAAAAGTTTTGAAGGGAAATCTAATTTGATTCACAATTTTTCTTGCATTCGATAGTGAATTTCTTTATGACGCTGATAATGTTAAGATTTTAAAATGATAAATCAATATATACTTCATCCCAGAATCAATGTTGTTTTGTGTCATACTATTGTGATAAGAGAGTCTATAATTTTATAAGACTATATGTTGCAAGGAGATATGTGATGGAGATAAATAGCATTATTGATATTTGGGGGCCGGGTTGTAAGCATTGATTTAAGGGATGTTTAAGATTCTGTCTTTGTTTTGGTACAAGATGTGCATCATCTACTGATAGACTGTTCAGATAGACTGGTGTGATTGTTTTCAGACAAGAAGTTAGCCGAGATAGATTGCGGCCTGCTAAAGCATCCGGGAGATCGGGTAAATAATTCTTGTATTTTATGTTCATATTTGTTGATCTTATCATATTTTACTCATTTGCTTGGAAATTCATTTATCAATCAGTAAATTCAGTGATCAATCTTGAAATGTTTAATTAATTGATATTTGCTTCAGTTTTTAAATTCAATGAGCCTGCATTCAGAGTTTGATTGGACTTCCTGTTTAAATGCCATTAACCAATCAAAATATCCTAGTAATTTAGAATCCATTTCTTCACTGAGTAATTATAATGGCTGTCATGATAAAGAGGCAATAAGTTGAATGAGAAAGATGTATTTTAATCACTGTTGTGTTAAATGATTAAAAAAGAATTGTTTGATTGTCTGTTGTCCGTTGCGAGTCTTTTTCATGCATACAAGATGTCACCATGTCACTTGTGAAGGACTTCAAATTTAGACCTTGGCACTCAGGGCTATTGAGCTGTGAGTGTTCTTTATCATGCCAATGCATACCGTAACATGGGGACCTCTGTCTTTAAGGTCTCGTCTGAAAGTCCCGTGACTTTTAGTCAAATTGGGGGTGCTGGGCAGAGGAATAGTCATTACCTAGGTTAAACGTCTTAGGTTTGACACAGCACCTGGAACGAGAATTGAACCTGGAACTACCTGATCATAAAGCAAGCGCCCTACCACTAGGGTACCGCTTGTGGTTTAAAGGAGAAAAGATGATCAAGATTTAATATTGAGGAACATGTATTTGTAATTGATCATCTATAATTTAGAGACAATCAATGATCTTGTGAAAACTTTTTCATGATGTTATGAAGTCATGATAAAAATTATGACATGTTAGTTTTGGGAAACACATGAAGAAAAATGAAAGCACTCATGTTTTTCTTTTGTAAATTGTTATGCTGTTAAGAGAACATTTAGAGATTATGGATGTAATTGGTGTAATTATTAGGTATATTTCATGATCAAAGGTAGCATTTAAAATTGCTCTTCTTCTTTCAGTGCAAAGATATAAATAGGATGAAAATTTATCGTCCAAATCGGTAACATGTATCTATATCTACAGAACTGTGAAGATTAGATATTGCCGAGTAATGATGAAAATGTCATTCTGTGACACTAGAGTGCACTAAAGTTTTCATAGAAATTAGATTTGACAAAAGATGAACATCCAGTATAATTGTTGCATCATGTACTTTAATCAATTATTCCATCAAATACGAGTCTAATTTAATTGCAAATGTGACTCGTTCAGGTTAAGATCAGAATATACACTCATCAAAAAATGTCTATACTGTATGTCTTGTACCTTTGAGTCCCCATGTGTCCTATATCAGAAACTTTTCTATCTAGATTACAGCAAAAACATGAAGAATTTTAGATTTTCATGTTTAATGTTGTCCATAGGGTCTATCAAGGTTATTTTGATAAAGTCAAGATCATTAGAAGAAAACTAGATGAAATTTTTAGAGTTCACAATTTAGAGATGCACAGAAACATAAAAACTCATTGACAAAATATCCCCGATCATGGAAATTGGTATCATTAACATAAGTCAGTCATTTAGAAAAAAAGGTCAAGGTCACAAAAATGTATGGCAATTGCTAAATAATCTTTTATGTCAGGGTTGATGGGCCTCTTATGTAAATGGCTTTATAATTTTTAAATGTTCTTACAGAATGAATGTTAAAATGATCTGTTTGTTACAGAGTGGTTCGAAATGTTTTAAAAATCTTCTGTCTTTTATAGCAATGTTTAAATGTTCTGTCTGTAACAATTAAGTAATTTTTTAAGTAATGTTTAAATGTTCTGTCTATTACAGAGTGGTTCCTTAAGCAGCTGAGGAGGAAGAGGGTAGGGAATCTAAAAAAAATTGATTTGAAAATGAATTAATGATTTATAAAATTTCTTTACACAGAGTGAATGGACAACATTGAAGCTGCTATAATAAAAATAAATTGAGCATGCCTTATGTTTTAAACATGCAGAAAGCTTGCATTTTTTTCATGCATTTCGATATAAATGTGACATTGTGATTGTATGTGCCATTGTTTTTTTTTTTACTGCATGGGAATAAGAAGGTGATTAATTGTATATTTTACGTAGTTGCAAGAGATGACCGTGACGCAAGACAGAATTCCCCCTATGATGCCCCACAGTCTTCCCCCTCCCCCCATCCAGGTGGTTCCCTCATCTCCTCTTCCCCAGGGTAGGTATTTGGAGGTTTAACATCTGAGGAGGTTATAGGTATACAGAAGTAAAATATTGTTGATGTGAAGAAAACTATAAGCTTTTGTACTGATTGAATTTCACCATGATCCAGCTGCCTATAGTTCAGGAATCATGGTACCAGAATAGATTAGGAGGGAATTGATGGATAAAGTATTTCTTAACCAATTATACTTCAAGTGATATAAAGTAAAAGGTATAGTTTCATCAATTAGTTTATTTTTTATCAAAATGTTGTACATATTTTGAAGTGATGCTAAATTTTAATTGTAGTATTCTGTTTTTGTAGAGGTTAATAGCAGCATTATTTTTCCAAAATGGCAAATTCTGAGTTCCAGTCCAGGGCCTCTGCAAGCAGGTAAACCAGAGGTATGCATTCAGTCAGGAATATTTTAATTCATTACAGCTTCTTGTTAGTTTTTTAGTGGACACTGTTTACAAGTAGATTTGTCTCCCATTGGAGGCAATCTAATCTCCACTATATTGAAAATCATATAGTAATGAATGACTGTCAGTGTAATGTTTTATATCTACAGTACAGGCCGTGAGTTTTCCTGGAGAAACATGGTGCCCCGTGGACAGAAAGTCCACACTTTAGCATGGACCTCGATCAATGTCAGCATCTTTGAAGTTGGGTGTCTGGGCACTGTGTAACACGGTGTGTAGGCGCGGTGTATCACAGTGCCCCATTACGACATTATGCAGAACTTATAATAAAAATGTTTCATTTCTTATTTAATCAATTATATCAATTTCCTTTGAAATAAGATTTTTTACACTTTTTCTTAAATATTACTACTTCTTTACCGATATACAGGTGTTTGAACAAATAAGATGCCATAAAATCTATGATCCACGTGCTCTTGTCCAGCAAAATACAAACTCTTCAAAATGTGTACGTACATCCACGCAAGTCGCGTTTCAAAAACCTAACTATGCGAGAGAAAAAATATGTTCAATATTCAGACTATTATTATACTAAGAAGGAATACACTTTCGTAAATTAATTACCTGGTTGTCTTTTTTCTCGATTATAACTGTTTTCATTTAAATTAGTCATTTTCATAACAAGATCTCTTTTACTGTAGGTATGCATTCATATGTGATATTTATCAGATGCATGGTTTGTTTTATGAATCATTTTCTACTTAAAAAGAATTTTTTAAAAAAAATATACATCTAAATAAATAAAATCAAAAAACGTGTCAGATACACACACAAGAACTCTGCTCTCTGATTATTACTCCGCGAATTATACTTTCGATTAAGGATTATTGCAATCTGTAATCATGTAAAATATGGAGGTAAATATCACACACACACAAAAAGCTCAAATCCTCTTTTCAACTTCTGTACAAATATTACCTTATTCTGAGACACAGGTACTTGTGGACAGGACCCCCCCCCCCCCCCCCCCCCCCCCCTAAATATACACCCTGGGTCAAAAAATATTTTTTATGCCTTTTTTCTTGAATTATTCTTCTAGTACACATTTACCATGTATTCCATATAAAAAATCCAAAAAATGACATAGAATTAACATTTTATTAAAAAAATCATACCCGAGGTATTATAAAATAGAGAAGGTAAGTCACTTCCATTTGTTAACACTGGACCCCTCTGGGATATCAGGCCTGAAATATCATTTACCTACTACATGTCACCAAAATGTGTCATGATATCTTGTTTTGGCAGATATTTTTATCTTTAATCCTGCTATTTAATTGTCTAGGTATTCCACAATAATCCGAGTATTCATTGTCAAACGTGAAAAATGCTACAAGATTTGGAAATGTCAAAGTATAAATTACAGAAGTGATGCAAAAACGACATCTAGCATGTAACCTCGAGTTCCGAGTGTTATAGAATTAAGGGAAAAGCCAGAGGTGTACGAAAAAGTTCGGGAAAATTTTGATGAAGTCAAAATTGATTCATTAGAATTTAATTCTGCTTCAGATTTTCAAGATGAGTGAGGGTAGTCGTCAGTATTCTCTTTAAAGGATTTTATCACAATCGTTTGCTACAAGAAATGCTCTTGGACATTATAAAATGAAGATTTTTTTTAGATTTATGCGAAAGGGTGTCTCTCTCTCTCTTTCTCTCTCTCTCTGACATTGTTTCTTTAAACACTTTTCAATTAAAGAAAAATTTATTACATACTTACACTGAAAGGATTTTCAAAATACTAGTTTATGAAAATCTGTTACGAGAAATACGCACAGTGTACACAGTGTTTTTGCTGTCGATTCTCGCTTATAAATTCAGAATAAGATATAAGATTAACAAAATAAATGTGCTCTACTCAGGAATACTAAATGTAATGCAGCTCAATGGATCATGCTATTTAGTCTTTCTTCGTTGCATGAGCACATGGAATTAAATTCTTCAGACATTAAAAATTTCAATCCAAATTATAATTTTAAAAAATAACTTTACGAAATATGAACTTCTGGGTGCACGATAAATTCAAAACCATTTAAATTTTCTGCTACCGATATTTAATCCTACTACATGTGTCATTAGTAAGATTCAGAGCACAGTCAATGTCTTCTAGATTTAAAAACGATAATTATACATATAAATCAAAGTGATTAATTGTTTTTAAATTTTAAAGTTTTTATCAGAATCAAATGATTTTCTTTGTAATGTTATGGACACGGTGTGGCACCGAGGGAGATTTCTGGGCACGGTGCGGCACGGGGAGCATTAGCTGGGATTTTTCTAGACACGGTGCAGCATGGTGTGCCTACCTGTGTATTTCAAATCCACACACACCATGCTACACTGTGTACACGGTGTAACACAGAGCATTTCACTCGGTGTGTTTTCCACAGTACACTGGGGAAAACTCGTGGCCTGTACTGTATTCACTTCTTTAGGCCATAGCCACCCATTCCATGTTATCTTCAATAAGGAGATATCAATGTATTTTTCTAATCATAATTGTGAACACTTAATGTTTTACATGTCTCTTCAGTCTTTGACATGATGTTTTCAACAAAGGAAGATGTGATTTTCTTTAATCTGAACTTCAGTGTTTTATGTCTACAGTCTCTCAGCTCGTATCCACCTGGTCCACCCCCCGAGATGTCCCTGATCCCTGTGTCTCAAGTTCAGGTGCCCAGGATCTGGGTCCCCTACATGGACAGTATCGCCCTGTCTAATGTGGATGTCAACATTCTCCCCTCCCAGGATTCAATGGGACAGGATCTACCACTAAATGGTAAAGTCGGGGGGTAGAAGCAGGTAATCTTTGTTACCAAGTCTTAAGAGGGGCCTGAAAAATATGTGGATGGATGAGCAAATTTGGTTCAAGGGCTCTCAAAAGATGGGAGTTGCCAAAAGAAAAATTGTACTCGAGACTAAAAATTTTTGATTAATCATTTATAAAGTTTAGGGGCGAGGGGTCTGGTGTTGTTTGGAATAAAAGTGTCCAAGATGAATCCTTTTCCTATTTCACAAAGACATGATTGAGTTAGTTTCTCCCTCTGAACATGTTTAGGTAATACTCAGGCTAGCATTGTGGTTCATGGCTATACTGTTTTCTGGGGACTCTTTTGTGAATATATCACAAGAACTTAAAAATCGCAAACAAATTTTGAGCAGAATATTAGGTCTGGAGATTTTTTGCCCTTTATCACAGTATTGATGCAAGATCTATTATTATTCCAGACATGAATACTCTACGGTTTTTCTTCAATGTGGGAGTCGCCGTAAGTATATATATATATATATAAGAGATCTGAGATCTTGAAAACTGAACACTTAAAAATTGATTGAAAGTGTGATATTCTGCTATTTTCACATGATATAACTTAAGGAAAATATGATTTGGATTGATGTTCAGATTGTATAACGTACTGTGAAAATTTGATGGAAAAAGAATGCCTCTCTTGTCACTGAAGTTAATTCTTTTTTATTACCATTTTTTATAAACTAGATGAAATTTGAGAAAATTATTTGTAGAAATGATAAGTTTAAAACAGAATTAAATAAATTATCAATGCTGGAGTTAAATGTCTTAATTGGCAGAGGAATGTTATTCAAGTGATGCAGTTAATTTTGCAAAGCTTAATAATATTGAATTATGGTTGTGTGTAAAGATGTAAAAATGCTAAATAACAAGGATACACAGGAAACAAATTAGAAATGTTTTCTTTTTGTTTTGTTTAGCACTATGGCCTGATAAGTCAGCAAGCATTGGCCAATAGAGCAGCATCACAGGGAAATATCCAACCAATCATATACTGCCAGGCCAAGCCTCCCATGGCTCTTCCTCAGATTGGTAATTCTAACTTCTCACTTCAGTCCCCTCCCCCCGCCTCTAACTCTGATGATGAGAGTAGCAACATGTCTAATGACAGCGGATGTGATGCGGACGAAGCCGCAGCCTCTCACGAGAAGTTGGTGACAAATGACGCAAACTCTCCTGTCAAGGCAAAGGAGAACTCTCCAGAGGGGGAGGTAACTGACTCGAGCACTGCTCAGGCAGAGAACCCGAGCTGTGAGACAGAGAGTCACTGTTCAGACATGTCACTCACTGATGCTTCTGATGGCACCATCACTGTTGAGAACCAGGACCAAGGCGGGGCTAAACAATACAAACCGCGCAGAAAGTATTACATGTATGGCAATCTAAAACTGATCAAACCCATTAAAGACGTACCAAAACGATTCATGGATCTCCTCACTTCAATGAATGCAGAGAAATCACGCGTTGAGGGAGAGCCAATCATAATGGCAGCTCCTGCGCAATACAAATCTGACAAAACTACAAACTGTCAGTTTAACCCTAATGCCCCGAGCTTTGTTCCTGGTTCTCAGGGTGAAAGGGCACCTGTCAATGGCAACCAAATTAATATTCCCCTGTCATCTACATCATCTAATGTGTATTATCCCTCACAGCTTATATCATTGCCTAACTCTAATGTATCCTATCATTGTAGTAACTCAGTCATCAATACCCACACTCACTATCAACGTAATCCTCTTTGCACAGGTTTCCCTCCACCCCTCCCTCCCATGGCCAACCCCTCATCCTCCAGCTTCCTGACCGTTAACAGCATGCCGCATTAGTCTCGCAGATGGTGGTGGTGGTATAAGGAACGACAGATACTTGCTAGACTAGTCATTTGTTTTATGCTCAACAAAAGAAGATGAACAAAGCTTTTACAATGCTATAGCACACTTCACCTGCACCTTTTAGACCGAGATTTAGCTGTAATGAGATTTTATGTTGAAGAATTTTTTCCACAGTTTTACAAACTTTAGAAGGTTAGTTCAGAATATTGTGCTGGTTTTATCTAGTCAGACTCGCACATTGTCAGCAAGCACCGATTTCTAGACTCACTTTGTAATCACCATATTTTTTTTATAAAGTATTTTGACTGAAGTAAAGGACTTAGTCTTTCCTCATCATTTAGATCATTGGGGACTTCAATTTGAGTAGTTCACTTTGAAACAAGTATTTAATGCACACAGATTCCTGCTTTTTACCATCTGATTATAGTTCTAGCAGTTAAAGATGAATGTTTGTACAATTAATTGTATATTGCCAATTTCCAGATTAAATTACTCGAATAATCCCATCTCTAGTTTAAAAAAGTGAAATATGAGTGCAGCAGAATTTAAAGCTTTACTTTGTTATCATGGTGATGGGATAATGTTCTGATTGTCCTGGTGTTGGTAGAATTTTATATCCATGTATACTTATGTATAGAGTTTTCATTAGCAAATCATCTTCTTTAACAATATATTGGTGCTATTTCACTTTTTTGCTGTATTTATTTTAGCTAAAACTTGTACATTGTGGAACACAGGGTTGTGTTCAAGATTGTAGCAGCTTTATGTAGCTCTACATAGAGCTATGATCTTGAATGATATGCTAGCATAGCAGCTACACTGTGAAATGTAGCATAGGTATTTGATGTTAGCTACCAAAGCCTAGATGGTTTCTTCAGCATATATTTATAATATTTTGGCTCGAGTTTGGCTCACTTTTTCCAAAACATAATTGTTACTGAGTTATCCGTATACCCACAATTTGACACTTACTGACCTAGTGGAAAGGCAAGCAAGTCCTTTCAATAAAGCTAGATATCTAGCAGCTTGGTTTAGCCGTTATGATCTTGAACACAGCCCTGATACATGTAGCACAAGCTAAATTAACATCTCTCTTTAAAATTTTACATTCTAACTGAATATTTAATGTTTACCAGTGTCATGATGTCATGCAAGTTCATTAATAACACAATCATACCCTGTAAGCTTGACAAGTATATATGCCTTATTGCTAATACTAAAATATGTACACTAATGTGAGATTTTTTTGTGTTTTTGAATTTTCTTTTTCAATTAAAAGTAGGTTTAATAACTAATGTTGTGAAATTAGCATTTTTTGGTCAACATTTTTGTCATTTACAATTTTCTATTTACAAATTTGTCTTATTTCTGATATTGTATTATAACTAATTTCTAATCTTCCAATTGTTTAAGTAATTTTTTTTATATCACTTATTTTTTCCCTCAGTTGATCTGATTGTTTTGTATGGAGAATTTAATAGTGTTGGAGTGTTGTTTCTTGTGTTTAAAGATTTTTTTTTAAACATTAATGGTACATAATTTGTTGATGGAGATATGACTTGATAGAGTTTTCCATTGTTTGCTGATCTTTGAGTGTTTTTCTTTTCTTTGGTTGTTCCATATTTTAGAAGTTTTGATGTAGAAGAAAGTCGTTCATTTTGTATTGGTACTAATTAATGATTCTAATTGTTTCCAGAAATTTTTTTTTTTGGTAAATTAATTACATTTTCAATTTTTTGAAAGATTGATGTCTGTGCATTGAAGTCAAAGTTTTTGACAATTTAATTCTTTGTGTACTTAGTAATTATTATCTATAGAGTTTGTACAGTCATCTTGAATATGTTTTCCAAAGCTGGACAGAAAAAATGGAAAAGAAACACTGAATTCTGATATTTTGAAAAATATTTTTACAAAATTGATTTACAGTGTTAAGTGTGAATTCAGTGTCTGGAATGTGAATATAAATCCTGTTTAGTATGAAATTTGTGCTTTTAAGATAAAAAAGTGAAATATGTTTTTGCTCTGCTCTGGCAAGTGGTTTTAACAATTTAAATTTACAAATAGTTGCTCTACAAAAATGTCGTTGTTTTCAAGGTGCAAATACTTGCATTGTTGATTCAAATTGGACAATTTTATGTATATTAATTAGCAAGCAGGTTATATGAGTGTCAATGGATGGATCAATTGAGTTAACTTCACTGAAATGAGTATAAAAGTGGTGATTGGCTGTTAGATTCTGATTTGTAGTGTAATAGATGGCTTGATGCATGTGTAATTAAATTTGTTCAAGTTAAACACATGCTTATTATTTTTTAAGTCCATAATCATACATAACTCTTATGTGTACGTATATAATCAGTAGACCTTTAAACTTGAGTATATATCCCGGATTTTACAGAGAGAGGTGTTGGCCACTCTCTTTTTAATCTGGAATCCTTTATTTTACTGGTCAATTCTTCATGTACATTATGATACACTTGTTCTAGCACTGTTGCATATATATATTGATCAAAAAGTAACAGCACACAGCAGCCTGCATACATTCCTAACGGACAGGTGGATGCCACTTTTATTGTTAAATGTATGTATTTTAGTGTTTTAACTTTTGATAGAAATCCAATTGAATATGTGATCTCTCTTTTTGTGAGAAATTACAGATTTCATGTTACATTCCAAGTTTTCTATGCAAGTCTTGATGCATTTTGCTATGCTCCTTCATGGAGTACCTATATATGCAGACCTGTTTACTCTTACGATTTCGCCGTATTTTGTACGGATTTTCAGTCCAAAATACGTCTCACGTTTTGCTATAACGAAAATACGGAAATCCGTTCATATGGATTATAGCAATTAGTTTTCGTTATCTGTCTAAGTTTGACGCTTTTTAATCGCTAAAAAGATAAAAATTTCGAACATTTAAGTTGTCAAAACGCGGTGGTTTAAAAAATGGCAGAGATCACTCAAAAGAAAGCAGGGTATGATGTTTTGCTTTGTTATTAAACCATATTTAGGTAATCAGAAATGTAGTTGTTTTCTAGTAATATACGTACAGTCGATGAAAAGTGAAATCTTACGGGCAAACGCCAAATCTCACTGACACATCTAATGAAAAATACTGAGAGACAACAATTTGGGTAAACAGGTCTGTATATGTAGGTATTTTAAACTGTTGAAACCCCCAGAACAACGATCTTTTCCAGTTCCTGGGAAGTTGTCTTTGTAGAACTATGCCTTGCGTTGTGTTTTCAGGATAACTGTTGACGTGTCTTAGGTCAGATGAGTGACATAAATTATGTCTTTGGTCAGGTTACGAAAATTTGTGAACCTTATTTCACTGATTATCTGAAATTCGTATACTTAAATTGTTTAATTTGTTTAAAGTTTGTTGTTGGTATTTAGAAAAAAAAACAAGGTGTAAAAATTATTTATACAATTGCTGTTCATCATTTATTGTTATTCCTTTATTAAAATTTAGTGCTTGTTCCAGATTTCTGACTTCTGGCTTCAATTTTTACATTGGAATGCCACGTGTAAGAGTTGTCTCTCTTGAGTCAAGGGGTCAAAATTGAAAGTCCAAAAAAAAAATTACTTGGGAGTTCGCAAAACCGGAGGTCGAGGGTGAAAACGCGCTAAATGGTAGTGTATACAGCTAATTGCCCTTAGGGACAAAAATTAATACAGTATTCAACTCCAGCTATTATCTTCCCTAGTGGATTACATTGTAAGGAGAAAAATGTATAACAACTATAACTTTCTAAGTGGAGGTAAGTAAATTATATTGATAAGAAAATAAGATCCAAATATCAAAATTTCTCCAAACTGTAAGAGAAGCAACCGGGAATCCTGAATTAACTTGATATTCTGAAAGTTGCATGTATATACCCAATTCAGAGGCGGATCTAGGAATTTTTTTTCTAAAAGAGGGGGGGGGGGGTCCAACCCAGTCGAAAAAAGATCCATCTTGGAAATTTCTTACTCACAAAAACCCCCAAACCTAAACTTTTCCCAAATATGTGAAAAACCTAGTTCTGGGGGGGGGGGGGGGTTGTGTTGTTGGCCGCTCCACTTCATTTCTTAAGCCTCGTATGCATGACTTTTCTTAGCAACTTCACAGGGGTCCGCGTTTTCGGGGGGGGGGGGGGTGTTCAAGGTCACTTTTAGTTGCTTTTATTAGTATATACATTTAATAACTGCAAATTCCAGGAGGGGTCCCGACCCCCCCCCCCCCCCCGATCCGCGCATGCAATTCCTTTTCCCTGGAGGCAGAGTTCATGTATTGGACTCGCAGTCTCTGCAAACGAAGGCTGAAACGTGAAAAACAAACTGGTCCAACTCGAAAGAGTATTATTTTTATTTTGATCACGCGACGGCGTGTTTTTCTGAACGCGCTGTTGAGCTTTTGCAAATGGCCCTATCCGGACACCATAAAAAAAGGAAATGATGCATGGATTTCAACTTGCAAATAATAATTGACCCGACAAGGTTTGTAATTTCTCTGTTATGCCTTGAGTATTTTTACCCTGGATATCTCGAAGCATTTCTTTGGTCCCATCGAGTTCGAGATAACGAGGTTTGACTGTATCTCGTACTCTAACGAGAGACGTTTGTTTTTGCCATGTCTGTGTTTGACAAAATGGTACAAGCTTAACTTTCATCCTTTGACTGTACCTGTTATAGAGTAGGCTTTCCCTTCTTAAATCTTTCCCCCGGAAAACTGGCACTAGAATAGGATCCCCCCACCCGAAAAATAGGCTCTAGAGTAGGATTTCCCTCACGGAAAAATGACTCTAGAGAGTAGAATTTCCCCTATGGAAATCCCACACTAGATTCAATTTTGCGGGGGAAAATCCTACTCTGTGTGATAGTTAAAGAGTGCGATTTCCACCAGAGCCAATCCCCCCCCCCCCATAAAATACCATGGCTGTACTAATGCATGAGGAGGAAGGGGAAGATATATTGTTACAAGTGGCCTTCCTTCAAAATGGCGACCATTGAAATATATGAAGTAAGAAAAGAAAATTTTTAATTAAGCTTTTGTAATCGGTTGGACAAATTTTAACCGTTTCATAGAAACTAAAAAGAACTTGTATTAAATGGATTTTTTTCTCTTGATTGTATTTCAAACTGCATGTACATAAAATTGATGTGCCATTCTGGTGTTAAAAAATCATGGATCCAAAAATGGGTCATTTATTTCTAAGAATTTGAAATTTTGTAAAACTTTTAATGAGTATTTGCTCTCTGCTTTCAAATCCAAATACTAGTATATAAGCCAATATTACATTGCTGGGATCACATACTTTTGCTTAGGCTTGCAAAATCAGTGTTTTTTGTTTTGTTGTGTTTATGGTTTTGGCTTTTTCCCCCTTTGAAAATGGCACGCGGAACCTATCAATAAGATAAATTTTAGAACACTCAAACACTCTTTTTAAAAGGGATGGATCCATAGATAAAATGCTGGGCCTTTAGAGGGCAAACAAATTATCAAATCACTAAATGTGACCTGATATTATTTTAAATTTCGTGAGCAAAAACGTACTGATGTACCGAGAGAGGGTGTTGAGACATCGAGTCTTACGATTTTTTGAGTGATTAATTTTACAATTTCCCAAAGGTAAAATTTTGGGTTGAGACTGAATAATTGGAACAATATATTTTTAGATTTCATAATAAATTGTACAATACTTGAGTCGAAAGCACTCATATTTCAATAGAAATAATCAGTTGACTTTCTTGTAAACTTTTAGCCAAATGTTGGCGATCTGATTTAAGCATTGATAAAATAAAAGAGGGGAAATCCTACTGATAAAGAAAAAGGGGGAAATTTGGCTCTAGTGTGAGACTTCCTTTCCGGGGGGGGGGGGGGGGGAGGGGGTCTACTCTAAGAGTACATATTCCGGGGGGAAAGCTGGCTATGGGGGGATCCAATTTTTCAACACCGGTCTAATTAATTGAATCTTCTTGAGTTATGATACAAAGATAACAAACAATGATCATTCTCAATTCTTTAGCTATACAATTATGAGAAGAGCCATCACGGACCTCTGAAAACAGGGGTGGGATCGGTTGCTATGAAGGAGTAAGCATCCCCTGTCAACTGGTTACACCTGTCGCGTGCTGTTTGTCTTGATGGGTAAACGGAAAAAAAGGGAAAGGGATGACTGCACTTAAGGACATGAGGAATTTGCGACAAAATAAACTTTCAAAACAAGCATTTTTCTTTTCATTGAAAGAATGGTCAACATCCAATCTACAACTTTATGTAATTACGTTTAATAAAAGTGTGTATTTACGAAGTTCGAAGCTGTTTTCAAAGGCAGGGGTCATCACAATTTCTTGAATCTCCGTTCGATAATGAGAACGCCCACTTTTTTACTGACTTTAGACATAGTCAGCGCATGTTTGTCTATTGTTCTACGCTTAACAGTAGTTGTATATTTGCATAAATAATAATGTGTCAAAAGG